AAACACCAAACCTCTCATAGGTTAAAAAAAAAATGTGGGCAGGCGCAGGGCGTTTTGTGAGGAGCAACTTGTATTGCCACTTAGACACAGCTCAGAGTAATGAGCACTGTCACAGCAGGAGCTCACATGGAAATATTTCTCCCTAAGTCACAAAACTGCTCCCTTTGCAAACTGGAGAGAACATCTGGCTTCTTGAGAGAGCTTCCCTGCAATGTGCCCATGGTCTTGGGGTCCTTGGCACAGTTTTGCTTGGCTCTGCAGGACCCCCAGCACCCCTCGGCTACTCCCACTGAGTGCCTGCTCACAGTTTGTCCTGGTGCACACAGAAAAGCCAGAGACACAGCTGGCTTCTCCTTGGGAACTAACACAGGAAGCTTCTGTGGAGTGAGGAACCAGTACCACTTTGTTTTGAACACTTGTGTTGAGGGGAGATCCCTCCAACAGAGTTGCCCCTGCTTGCATTTATGCGGAGTGTCTTCCAGTGAGCAGTTTCATCCTGAAACCAAGGTTTTTCCCCTGAGTAACTGGTGATATTCAACTCCCAGCTGGCATTGACTTACAAGCTGGACAACTTGGGAAGAAAGATGACTCTGAGCTCCATTCTTGCACAGCTTCACCAAAATTCAGTGTTTCCTAAGAGGTTTTTTATTGGTGGCTTTTCAAAGACCAGGTAACATTTGAAAGTTTAGTTCAATTATCTCTCCTATTTTCAAAAGCAGCCCCTTGTTTTATGCAGAACCCTACCTCCATTTCCAAGCTTCCAGTGTAAGCCTGGTATGTTGCAGAAGGCTATTTCTGGAGCAGACAACAAGTAGAATTACATTTATGTGCATCATGTGGCACTTGACATGCCTGAATGAAGATGAAAAAAAAGCCCCAAGAAAGTATGCAAGTCTCTGTCATCATAAGATGCCCCTTCAGCCAGTCAGTGAGCTGATGGATGGTAGTTTTTTAGGGCTTCTGGGCAGTAATGTGCAGCACCTGGTATGTGGGGGTCTGCTTCTTCACTTTGAGGCTGCAGAGCTTCAGTAGCTGCATTGGAGGCAGGATGCAAAGAAGTGGGGTACGCACACTGGCTTCAATGAAGGGCAGCAGCGGGCACTTCAGGGGAAATGTGGACAGAGAATTTGTCTCTCTTTGTGGGGCTTGCACAGCCCCACACCTACTCATGTTTCCCCAGGCTTAAAGGGGGCCCAGAACTCACCCTAAGGTAGCAAAATTTCCCCTTCCATTCTTCACAGTCAGAACATTAGAAAGTATGACCTATATTAACATTCTTATGCATCACCTTCCTCTGTCTTCTGTGGGAAAAGTTTCAGCTTGGTTTCTTGATGTCACTGGAGTTGTTTACTGTCTTTTTTTTCTGTATTTCCTATGTTATTCAGGTTGTACTAATCACCAGAGGGGAAGGAAACAACTCCAGAGCAGATTGAATTGACGTTTAATTGGACATCCTGTGAAATAAACATTGTGACTTGGATAAGATTAAAATGTGAGTCACAAGTCTGTGGTGAGTTTTCAACTGTCAGGGAATGCAGTGAAGGAATGAGGGAAGAACAGCAAAGAGAGAGCATCTAGAAGCAATGCTAGAGCAGCAGCTGCTGGACTTGCATGCTGGTTTTCACTAGGCTTATACTAAAAGTACAGTGGACAAAACTGGAGAAAACAACTGATAGTTCTTTAGAACTAATTTAAGAACTATTACATTTTCAAACAGATTTTAATTTCTTTTTTTTTTTTTGCCTGTACTGAACTCATCTGTGAATGCCCTCTAGCAGTAAACCACTGTCCAGCTCAGCTAAATTCTTGGATTTTAAAGGTGAGTACTTAGAAGTGCTTCTGGAGAAGAAACCTTCAACAGGTTGGCATCTTGCATGTACTTCCTTTTTATGTTTGATACTTGGCAATATTTCCGGTGAGTAGATTTGCTGGTCCGGTGAGTAGATTTTCTGGAAGAAACAATTTGCAGACATGGAAATGAAAACTATATTGTAGCATATTTGTTAAAATATGAATTCCAGAATTACTGAATGAGCCAGGCTGGAAGGGACCACAGTGGCTCATCTGGTCCAACCTCCCTGCTCAAGCAGAGTCAGCCTAGAGGAAACATCACACGAATTGCATCCAGACAGTTCTTGAATATCTCCAGTGAGGGAGACTCCACAACCTCTCTGGGCAATCTGTTCCAGTGCTGTCACCTGCACAGTAAAAAAGTTGTTCCTCATGCTCAGCTGGAACGTCTGTGCGTCAGTTTCTGCCCACTGCCTCTTGTCCAAGGGCACCACAGGCTCATGGACAGTTTGTTCTCCACCAGGACACTCAGGTCTTTCCCTGCAGAGCAGCTTTCCAATAGATCAACCCCCAGCCTGTTCCAGTGCATGGGATTATTCTTTTCCAAGTGCAGGACCCTGCATTTGCCTTTGTAGAATTTCAGATGCTTCTTCTCTGTCCATCTCTCCAAGTTGTCAAGGTACTTCTGAAAGGCTGCACAGCCCTCTGAAATGTATAATAGCAGCCTTTTTCATGAGCCTCACTTGATTTACCTGAATAGACCTGATGGGACAGTCTCTTTACAAACATTGTGTCAGGCTCCTACTTAGAATCATAGAATGGTTTGTGTTGAAAGGTCACCTTTAAAGCTCATCTAAGCCAACTCAGAAATAAGTAAGGACATGTTCTTCTATATGAGGTTGCTCAGAGCCTGGTCCAGCCTAAGCTTAAGTGTTTCCAGGAAAGGAGCATCCACCACCTCTGTGGCCAACCTGTTCCAGTGTTTTACCACCCTCATTGTAAAACACTTCTTCCTTATAGCTAGTATAAATCTACTGTCTTTTAGTTTAAAACTGTTACCCCTTATCCTGTCACAAGAGACCTTGGTAAGAAGTTTATCCCCAGCCTTTTATAGGGCTGCTTTAAGTACTCAACGCCCACAACAAGGTCTCCACAGAGCCTTCTCTTCTCCAGACTGAAAAACCCCAACTCTCAGCCTTTCCTCGTATGAGAGATGCTCCAGCATTCTGATAATTTTTGTGCCCCTCTGCTGAACTCACTCCAACGGGTCCATGTCTTCACTCCAGAGCTGGACACAGCACTGCATGTGGGGTCTCACCAGAGCAGAGCAGCAGAATCCCTCCCTCACCCTGCTGGCTGTGCTGCTTTGGATGCAGTCCAGGACAGGTTTGGCTCATTGGGCTGTGAGAGCACATTGCTGGGTTATGTTCAGCTTTTCATCCAACAGCGTCAAGTCCTTCTCATCAGGACTGCTCTCAATCTGTTCCTCGCACAGCCTGTGTTGATACCAGGAGTTGCCCTGATCTAAGTGCAGCACCTTGCATTTGGTCTTGCTAAATCATGTGAGATTCTCATGTGTCCACTTCTCAAACTTGTCGAGATCCACGTGGATGGCATCTTGTCCTTCAGGTGTGTCAACCACAGCACTCAGTGTGTCAGCAAATCTCCAAATTTGCTGAGGGTGCACTTGAGGCCCCTGGAAATGTTGCTGATGAAGCTACTGAATAGTACTGGTCCCAGTATGGACCCTTGAAGACACCACTTTTCACCAGTGTGCACTGGAACACTGAGCCATTGACTACTTTTTCACAAGCTACAAGCTAAGTTCAGCTCCTTCCTCCTGGGCTGCTTTCTCCTTTGCCTCCATCCTGAGGTGAGGGAGGCTGGCTGTAGTGGAAGATTTGGTGATGTCTGGCAGCTGTCTGGCAGAAACTGGCCAGACACCAGGTCAGCTGTTCTGCGTTGCACCTGTGGAGTGGCTGATGGCAACCCTTGCTGGCTGCTGTCTCCCAGCAGTGGCTGCATAGCAGCCACCTGGGCGTGAAAAACTCCCAGCCTCTGACAGTTCCCAGAGCTCTCTGATCCTTTGGACATTTATTGTAGCTTGGAAATTGCAACGGTTGTTGGTTTGCTGTTTGCCACCAGGTGGCCTAACTATTCCACCGTTCATGAGGAACGAGACTCCATTAGGGAACGGCAGCTGGAACTTTTTAAGCTTTACATATTTTTCTTCCCAAGCCTCCACCTCCCCTCCTTCCTCCTCATTCAGTTGATTAAAAGCGATCAGGGCTGCTCTGATTTATCAACTCAATCCTGTACTCTAAGCAATTGAGAAAGCTGGTGCTTCCAGCCGTCCAGCCCCAGCTTTAGAGATCAAGCTCAGCCGTCTCTGTTTACCTCTTAGCCCAAATGAACTCTTGCCGTAACAACGCAGGTACCTTGGACTTTTCTTGGTGCAGCAGTAACTGGAGATTGACTCCTTTGTTTGTTGCCTCTGGGATGACTGTGGTAGCTGGTTTTGTGACCACCCAGGAGTTCTGTGCTGGCCACATAAGCTGGATTTATTTTTTTATAAGCTGCCTTGTGTCCCTGGAGCATTGCAGCGTGGATTCAGTGAGCCATAGGATCTGACTCAGTAACTGGGTTTTGATTTTTAAACCCACAGACAGCAGTCCCCCCACTCAGTAGTTTTGGGATAGCCATGTGGGAACTGGCTGAGCTAAGGGCTCCTTGGGTTTCAAGGGAGCTGGCATTACAGCTCATGCATCAAAACTTGCGACTGACTTCCCATCTTGTACTGAAAGGAGCCAGACTTACTGATCTGAAAATGGGAAGGAAGATACTCTTGGATGTTTTTCTCAGGTGTTTTTTGGTGAGAAGGATGGAGAAGGCTCTAGCAGTCACAGCAGTATGAACTAAGAAAAAAACCATTTACACCAATAGTATTATGTTGACGTGCAGGTATTTGGAAGCCACTGAATGACTTCTTAGGAGAAGGAAGCACAGTTTTAGGAGAAGACAGGTTTTTTTCATCTACTGCAACACTGATAGCTTAGAAAAATGGTATTTTCTACTTTTTGCATCATGCCTGAAACTTTTCAGAAGGTAGTTTCAAAACAAATCTCAGTAAAAAAGTAATTAACAATGATTATTTGGTTAAAACACTCTTAATTTATTTACCCATCTTTGTAATTATTTCAGCATTTCAGCTTTGGTGTGAACAAGGACAAGGTGCAGTGATGACAGGGAGGACCATTATGTCAGAATCCAGCAATAGAAACATCTTCTCAAGATCAGTTCAACTCAGCTCTGAACTGGTGCCCTGACAATTCCAAATCAAAGGTATGCAGTTTCTGAATGTCCCTTATCATAACACAATTGCAACACAAATCACAACTGCATTGGGCAGACTTTCCTAAACGATGTGGTGATTGAACTTTAAAAAAAAATCAGTCATTTGGAGAAAATACCAGGAGTTCTTACATCTGGTAAATTAAATTGTTATAAATAATAAATACCTGGAAATTGGTAGATATGTTCAGTTGCATCACAAAAATGTCATGAAGTAGAACTGGATATTTCAGCTACTTTAACCTAGCCTTGGGCACAGGAGAGTCCAATTCTGGTCATTTGCAGGATAAGCAATCAAGTTCAGGGTAAGGATATTTTAGCCAAGGTGTTACTCTGGATTTACACCTCTGCAGATAGAATCAGATGCTATCTCCCGGTCTATGCATCCTCTGAGAATAGAATTAATTTTGAATTCTTGTATCATCTGCTTGCTTGTGCACTTATTTGCTAACTGTCTGACTGAGTGAGATATTCTGGGTCACTATGATTTAGGCATCCTTTATTACACAGTTTCCAATTCAGTACATTTTTTAATCAAGACTAAATTGAAGTCAGGTTCCAGGTACATATGAATATAATATATATTTAGTGAATACATTGCAAATCCCCTAGTCTAATTTTGAATGTAGCTATAATAGAATAAGAAATATGGAGGTTCCTTTATTTTATAGAGGAGTGTTAAAATATTGCTGCGTCTTAAAGGCAAGTTAAAACCTATTTTCATATTTTTAAAATCACATTAGCTAAAAGCTTGTTAAGGAATAAATAGTCCAGAGGATAATTGAGACTTAGCTGGCTTAAGCAGTAATGAATCAAAATCAGATGCCAGATCATTAATTAATTCTACAAATTATAATGTTGCCATTACTGGCAAATACTATGAGAGCTAATACCACGGAGAAAATTAAACTGCATAGTTTCCTTTCTTACTACACATCTTTCACCAAAAAGAAAACTGCAGTAGGTTTTTTTTCTATTGTTATTACATATATTGTCTGTTTAATAAAAACTTTTGAATGATTGCTAATTTTTAAAAATATTTCAATTTCTTTAACATGCTATGTATAGAATCTGCCTATCATAGACTATAAGGATATTTCCATCAGTGCTGTAACTCATGGAAACTAAAATGTTTTAAAGCAAAAGTGACAGAAAAGTCAATTCAACATTTCAGAAGACTCACAAAACTTCATGCCCCTTCAAATCAGCTTCTTTGGTAGAAGGCATAATAATAGATGGGTCTTGCAATGTGGCCTGAAGTGCCACTATCTCGGGCTCTGTCAGACCAATGCAGAAAGGGAATTAGATGAGAAGTGAGAGAGGCAAAAGAGAAGGCCAGCTGGACATTTCTAGCCACCACTTCTCATCCCACAAGAAGAGGAAGCTTCAATATGTTTAAATGGTGGTGGACTTAAGACACTTTTCTGCAGAGTGCAGAACCAAGCTGGGGAATGGGCAGTGATGGAATATCACTGAATATTATGGAGAATAAAACACTAAATAGTGATGACATGATAGAACATCAGCCTAGTCAGAATAAAACTTTAGGGCCAAAATGATGGAGCACCATTATCTGAAAACTCACAGTATTGGAACTGTTTGTCTGGTGTGGTGTTTCCTCTTTAACCATCATGTGACAGACACCAAGATTATCTTGGATCTAGAATATGAGGGTGGTCTAAAACATACCCAAAGTGTTTTAATTAATCCTGGAGACCAATCAAAAGCAAACGTACTGCAGTACTAGTGAAATAGTTTGCTCACTTAAGCTTTGCTAAGTAAGTGGGTAGGTGCACTCTCCTCTGAGATTGAATTGTCCTGAAGGATCCAGCATAGACTGTCAAGTCTGATGCCCATAAGAGTGATGTGTGCCTGTAAGAAAAAGCTGTAGAAGAATGTCCCATTTTTTTCTCCATATCAATTGTTATTTTCAATCAATTTTCTTCCTCTGTTTAATTGAAAAGAAGTCTGGGTGGATTATTTCTAGGTAAAACAGTAAGATAACCTGAAATAAAAATATTCTCACAGTTTCCCAAAATGAATCACAGCTCAGTTTCCAGCAGAAACCTGAGACTCGTGAATCTTATTACCAAGAGCTACATTTCAGCTGCAGAATAATAAGCTGGCACTTTTTTTCAACCCTCAGTGTCTGTCCACCATTAATGATAGCCAAATTTTTGCCAAATCAAATCTATTATCTAGATCAGAGGGTGCTAGCACCATACTAACTGTCTTTTCTGATAGTTTCATATCTACGCTGAATAGATGAATTCTTGGTAATTTTTTACCCTTTGGGTCCTTTGAACTACCTAAAGATGTTAACCTTTGCCATGCAATAAAAATTAAACTGTCAATAGGCAACACTTTGGATAATAATGTATTCTAATATAACTATATTATCTGTCCCTCCACTGAATTCATGGCTCTTTTCCATGTTTGGAGACAACAGATAGTATTAAAGCTGATTTATTGCAACTTTTGGCCTTCTGGCAAAATTACAGTATCTAATAATAGACCAGTAATTACAATTTTTCCCCAAAGTTGCTGTCTTGAACACAATTCCAGAAGAAATTGAGAGCAGCCAACAATGGATGCCTATGAAACACACAGAGATCCTCCCTCCAAGGACTTTTCCAGATTGCAGCTACTTGCATCTCACCAACTTCTTAAGGCATTTAATAGTACTTGAAGAATTTTTCTTGTGTGAATTTTTCCAGTCTTCCTTTTGTTAAGATATATAGCCAATATGGTCACTCTTCTAGTTTTAGTCTCTCCAGCTACCCTGCTAGATTGGTGGAAAGATGATGGGCTGTTTTTGTAATGAGTAATGACTCAGAGGTGGAAAGGACTCTTTTTACATGGTTGGATGGCCAAGTTCATGGTGAAATAGCTGCTATAATTCTGCTGGGATTTCATATTATCATTAATGATTTGCTAGGGCACTTGAAGCCTGCAATGCTATCCCTTAAAAGGATTTAAAATCTAAACACATTTAAAAAGCTCTGCATTTGCGCTGCGTGGCTTATGTTCCTATTTTCTGACACTACAGCCCTAATTCTTTTGACACTCTGAAATCTGTCACTGTTGGAAATTATTAATGCCACCATCAACAAGGAAAACTACAAACTCAGAAACTTTTACGACTGTGGTGTGAAAGCACAGTATTCAGCTGCTGTAGAAACATCTTTGGCATGAAACTGTCTTGTTCTTTAGCTTGATTTCATATTTTTCCACTTGTAGAGGTTAATTAATTACAGTAATTAATAGTTAGACCAAATTTATGCAGGCTGATAGAACCTTTGTTCCAGATGGACACTGCCGCATGACGAGGGGCAGTTTTTAATGACTTTGTTCCTTACCAAAGGGCATCCAGTGGAAGATCACAGTTATGGCAGTCTGGGGAGAAGGAAACAAAACTACCATGCAATGAGATATCTTGTGACAAATATCTTACTCTAACTGGTAAGTGACACCAAAATAAATGCCTGTTTAAAAATCCTTTTGTTACATCTCACAAGCTTTCAGCCAATTTATTGAGATAATTTGTATAGGATTGATTTTTGCATATACTTTTATTGGATAGGCAAGCACTCACTGATGCTTAATGCACAATGGTCCTATCACACAGTGCTGTATAATCAACAACTACCCAAAGATTGGATGACCTGGAAAAGGCATTAGATGGGGCACAATTCTTCTAAAAAAATAGTCACACCAATATAACATCCCAAACAGAATCACTAATCTCCCTATGCATGTCTTTTTTTCATCTTGGATTGTGTCACCTTGGATGCTTTTATCACTGAATGAAAGCAACTGTATGCCAGTTGAATTAAGTTCCTATAATTAAGATAATTGTAGTGATGTAAAAGGGAAAACTTTCTATTTGGTAATATTGTCACCCGGCCCTGAGGCTGTATCTCGTGTCTTTGATGGCGAGGCTGTGGTCTGTAATGCTGGTGAATTTGCCACAGCTCTGGTACTTTAGATGCTTCTGGTTTTAAACCCATTTTCCCCAATCCACTTCCAGTGTGTCATTCTGGAATTACAAGATTATTGGCACACACCTTCAATAAACTAGCATGGACTTTTCCTGCTATACTGTCATTTATACCAAGTGATGTCAAAGAAAAAAGAAAGAGAAAGGCATCACAATATACTCAATAAGCCTTATGGATTAACAGTACAGAGAATAATATAAATTGTGGTAGATGCAAGGAGGTTTGTTGGGTCTTTTTCTTGTTTGTTTGCTTGTTTATGAGGCTATCCTAGAAGATGAAACACAATGAGCAAAATTCTGCCCATAGGAAAGTTAATGGGAAGCAATTCTGCAGTTGCAACAAGGATAGGATTTTTCTGATTGTGTATTATTCCATTCCATCCTTCCCCCTCTGCCTCCTCTCCAGCACGCACGCGGTAGACAAAGAGCAGCGCCTCTCCTATTTCAGCTGTCATTTCAAAGGAAGAAGACTGACTTAATTCCCTATCACCAGGTCACCTAATTGCTTGGCGGTCATAAAGGATAACAATTTTTATTGTTCAATTTAATTAGACAGCTTCTAGAATAAAATAATTTGAATTTTCTCATAACACAATCTTTCTTTTGGAAAAAAGATAAAAGCTTATTTCAGTGGGAAATCATGGCTTGAGTCACATCCGGAAAAACCCCAGCACCTCAAATCATTGAAATAAAACTTCTTTGTGTAGACAAATGCAAAACCTATCCCGGTTTTTATAAGAGCTGAGAGTGATATTAAGTGTTTTTTAGCTATGTTGGTTTTTGGAAAAGAGGTTAAACTACTAGCTAGAGAGTGTAAAGAGGGCCTGGGAAAAGTGAAAAATAGATTATGTTAACTGATTGTGGCTAAGGATGAAAGCTGTCTTTAGGATTTAACATTTCTTTAGGGTGTTGCAGAACCTCACAGCTTCAACAGACACTGTAGCTACCATACAGCAAAAATATAAGTTCTGACATTTAAAAAATCTTTTCCAGAAGTCAAGATATCTGACCTATTTACAGAAAAGGAGCAGATTGAGAGCTTGCCTGTAGTGGTGCAGAAGTTTACTTTTTTCTTAAGAGCACACCAAAACCTCCTGAAGTTCACCAGGAATTTGTAGCACCTGTCTAGCAAAAAATCTGCTGGTCGTCTGACTTTTCCTGTGGGTGTGTGTGTGATGACTAAAAGAGACAGAGAAGCAGAGGGGAAAGGCACTGAAATGGGATGCTTTTTTACTTCAGTAAATTTCCAAAATCAGTAATTTCTGGGGGGAGCTCAAATCCACAAGCCCTGTCAAGAGGTTCTACACTTTACCAAAGTAGTTTTTTTCTCAAAAGCTCTTCTGCCGCAATCAAAATGTATTAGTTTTTTTCACAGATTGTGGAGCTGAAGGGGTGAAGTTTTCTGCCTTGTTTAAGGCCAGCAGTTTGGCCAGTGTATCCTCTGCAGCAGTAGCAGAGTAACACTTTTTAATTTTATTTTTTAAAATACCCTGCTAAACCAGGAAAAGTAACCTAATCCAACTCAAGCACAGAGCACACTTGTTCTTGTCTAAAACATCTTCTGAAGGTTAGTGCTTATTGTTTGGAAAGAAATTTAAGTTGTCCTGAGAAGAGCCACTGGAACGAGAGCACGAATTCTCTCCAGGTGTTCTGATCTGTTTTAAATAATGCAACTCTAGGCCAGTTTCCCAAGATGCCACTGATAAAGCCTGGTCAGCTAGGACATGAAGCCTTCCTCTTTCCTTTCTTTGCCCTTTTTTGCTTTCAGAAAATACTAGCTAACAGTAAACCATGGAGATGTGCCACCTTTGAAGCCAGGTATTGCTGGTGCAGTAACTGGAGTTAGGAAAATACACTGGCACTGACTTCATCCCTCTGTTCTTTTCCCCTCAGATTTGAACCTTACAAATTGCTTGCCCATCTTATTATTTGATAAAGCACTCAGGATATTGCTGCACTTGAAAATGACCTGGTTTACTCCAACCCTGTATATAAACTGCCAGTGTACATCTAGCTCTTCTATGAGTCCATGCAGCTCAGAATAGACCCACTAGAGCTAGTGGAGCTGCTCTAATTCACCCCAGCTCTAGGTCTGATCCATCTTTTCTCATTTGGTTCTTTAACGAGTCCCTTTTTCTTGTTTCAACTTCTTTTCTCATCTAAATCTTTTCTAGTATTTTGAAATTTTATGCAGCCTGGTTTCATTTACTGCTAAAAATGCATCCCCAGTATCAGGCACATCATTTTCTAAGCCTCCATCATGCCAAGAGACTTAGTAAAACATCAGTTTTTCACTTCAGTTCCCAACCCATATGTTTTCAAGTAGCACTGGGGAAACATTTTTTAAAGGACAGACTCCAGAGATGTCCTCTAATATCATCAGCAATGATAATCAAAAGCTGCTTCTGCAGAAGCCTGTGGGATTATCAGTCTCTCAAAAGGAAATTCAGCAGCTTTTCTTGCAGTAACATTTATTCTCCACCCTTGCACCTCAGGCTATCCTTCACCTCAAGGTGATGACACCCTGGACAACTCCATTTCCATATGCACTTCCTGTTCAAGTGTCGGGAGGGACCCTTAATCCAGGGTAAAAAGCCTTCCTGGATTTCTACGGGGAAACACAACTCAAATGCTAATAACAGTTTATCATCGTTCCTAGGTGATACAATTATGCCTCATTTACAGTTGCAAAACAGCTCTGAGGAAGTTGGGCTTTTTTTTTCTTCTCTAATTTAGACATAATTTCAGCTAGTCATGACATCAGTGTTAGGACTTAGACTTTGCCACAAAGGAGCACATTGCTAATTTCAAGACTTCTTGGTTAATTCCATTCACACCCAGAGGTGATGCAGCCTGTTTTTGTCCTGTGATTGGCAGCATACTGGATGTTTATGAATATCCAGATAATGATCATCATTTCTGCAAACCTTCCTGCTAGTGACCTCTTTGACAAGGAGAATAACATAGACCACAAAGGGGCAGTGAATGCCCTGTTAAAAAGTTCAACCAAATACTCTCCAGAATTGATTTATCTTCAGCAATCTTATTATTTTGCACTCTGCCATTTCTCACTATTTCTCTTCTTCTCCCTCCCAAGTGTTCTATTTCCTTTTCTTTTTCTTCTTCAGTTTCTCAGGTGATGCCTTCAGGACTTGCTGTGCCCTGTGTTCCTCCCCACACGATGGAAGCATTTTGGTATCACCTGAGCCATACTTCACTGTGGAGCCCAGCAGAGGCCCACAGACACTTGGAAGAGGATTATGGGTCTTTTCCCACAAATCTAGAGACAGTCATCACCTACCTGGGCTTGTGACTACCTCTTCACAGGTAATCCCTGTGATTATTGACAATGCAAACATTCAACTCCATTGAATTTCTGTAGGGGCAAGAAAATAAGCCCTTGCTTGGCTATGAGGGCAACAATATGGTGGCAAAAGCAACAGCAGCCATCCTCTGCAATGCTTTCTGGCCAGCCTTGCTCTCCTGAAACTTTCAGAAAAGGGCTTTGCAGTTGTCTCCTGCCCCTGTAAAAAGTGTGGGGGAAACGAGGGGCCAGGGCCTGTGCCAGGCTGAGGGGTGCAAGGTGCAGCAGCAGGGGAAGCAGGCAGAGAGGATCTGACCACAGCCCAAGCTGTGACAGGGGAAATTGAAATGTAAATTCTGCACCCTGGCAATAAATTTCACAGCAGCCTAATTTTCCTAGCAATGACGCCTTGGGCAGAGCCTGTGTGGGCCAGAAAGGAATGGGCTTTAAATTTTCTAGAACTCTCTAATCCTCTTTATCAGTCACTTCTCCCTAAACTGCTGCTGCTCCCTGAGAGATTTAAAGCCACAGTGGCTTCTTCAAGGCCTCTTCCTGATTATTATGTTTATTCTCATCCAGTCAAGACAGAGAAACATTAGCATGTGATTTACACTGCGGGACCAATCACAAATACCAGCACTCAATATTTGAAATTGCAGTAGCTACTTGCAACAAACTGGTCAGGATCAATCTGGAGATAAAAAGGAGGGTTCTGCCTTTTTAGAAGGTGGTAGAGATACATTGTTGAGGTCTGTCAGTTTTACCAGAATGTGCAATGGCACTCACAAGGTATTAATACATGTGCCTGTGCTAGGTTTAATTCCTTTCTTTTGTTTAAAGGTTTCTTTTCCCCCCCTTGCAACCATCTGCTTTTCCTCTCATGTTTCAAGTCTTTATATCTATCTGTCAAGCAGGCAGTGGATTCAGGACAGGTTTTCATGCCAAGGCATTCCTTTACCTAATGAAAACAAGTGAATAAAACATAAGAGAAGGAGCTTTAAATTAAAAATAGAGAGAAAAAACCCTGAAGAAAACCAATATCTGAAGGAAAACATTTTTTTCCTAGGAAAATGCCTATTGAATAGATGAATTTCTATTTATTTATTGTAATTTAAGTAGGCATCTATAATTATACCCTATTTAATTAAGGATACGGACCATGCCTGGGAGAAGAGAAATATATACATATGTGAAGAGTCAAGACAATGCAGATAAACTTCTGATGGCAATGACATATTCATGCAGAGTAGTCACTTTTCAAAACTAAAATTTCCTCCCAAAGGCCCCCAGTTTGTATTATTAATGACATTTTTCTTAGTCTGCATTACCATTTCCATTGGAGGGGAAAAAAGACAAAAACTTTTCTCAAGTTTGAAAGGAAAAAGCGGTCTCTGAGCCACAAACATCAAATGCTTTTGCACAAGCCTTTGAATGGATTTCATCCACAATGTTTTGTAAATGAGTAGAGTGAACATCCACTCCTGGCCTGAAACCCTGTGCTGAGGGACTCAGAAATGAGGTACAGCCAAATGGCAAACCTGGAGGGGAAAAAAAGCATGGAAAAAGCATTTCACAATGCAACAGCAGCCCCACACAACAGGGTCCCTGCCAGCCTCCAGAGCACTGGTCCCATTTTGCAGTAGTGTTGGTGAAGTGAGTACATTTGGACCCTGATTTAAGTCATGGGTAACACTGATGGCTCAGAGCTAGTTTAAATCTATAACAAAGCATTGTGAGGAGCTGGGACATTAGAGCAGTTTCAGTCTGTTCCTTCAGGTTTCTGCTGGCTGCATGGAGCCTTGGATGCCATATCCTAAATGTCTGCCACCAACTAGCTGTCCCTCTTCTCTGTTTAATGTGAATATCCTGTAATTGGAGTGTCAAGCTTCTCGCTGCCACCACTGAGGAGGAGGATACGGAGGAGGAACCAGAAAAAATCCGTCTTTGCTGTAATGAATGCATGCAGTTCAGACCAGATTGGGCTGTTCAGATGTTTTATTCCTCCTTTTCATCTCCTTTGTGGAGGCTCAAGCAGTACCAGAACACAGAGAACTCCTTTTAGGGCTTCAAACACCGCAAAGATCTGCTTGGTCCACTGTGCAGGAGACAGACAGGGAAGCTTTTTTTGACACATCTTCCCAATCTCTGTGCTGCTGGTGCTTTTTGCATATCTTCTTGGCTGTTAGTGTGGGGGCAAATGGCAGAGGCTCCCCCCTGGAAGTAGGGGCTGGGGAGCCAGTCCAGGCTGGTCTGCTGCTTTGGTGAGGCAAGGGAGGTGAGGCAAGAGGTGATAAATAACTGGTTATACTGCAGTCTCTGGTGCCTGATTGTACAAGGTGGCACAAACGTAGATGCAGTGCCCACACTGAGGCACAGAAAGCACAAGCAGGTGTTTGCTGTGATGCTGTTAACTCATTTACACAGCTGTTTTTAGGGGCCTGGGCAGTAGCTCTCACTGGCTGTACTCCAGCATTTTCTGTCTGTTTCACAGATATAGAGATCTATGGCACCCAAAGGCCCTGGGCTTTTTTGCCTTCAAGCTGCTACTAACAACAGTTAGCGTCCTTAAAGGAACAACAGGGGTGCTCCATAGTGCAGAAGAAGCCCTTGTTGCAGCTTTCTGTGTGAGCTGTCTGGAGAGGAGTTGAGGTCTGTCAGCTCAGAGTGCTGAAGGAACACATCCATCCCACCACTGCTACCCTGTGATTGCTTTGGCAAGGCACTGATCTGATACTGCCCTGGCCTGTCTTGGTACCATTGTGTGTGCCCACCTGCTCTGTTTGTTTGTTTGCTGTCCAGATGGATGGAAAGCAAAGCTTTTGTTGTCACCTTACTACTTTCACCTCAGTCTGAAAAGGTACCTGTCCCTACAGCTTTCTGTGCCTTTGCAGGCCACCCTTACCATGATGGATACTACCTAGTCGCTGACAAGAAACAGGAGATTTTAGTGTTGTTTTGTTGTCTTACTCAAAGATCTGAAAGTGAATAAATCATGCATGTGTGCCGCTGCTAAAGCTATCAGTCAGATGTGTAAAGATTGGACACTCATAGAGATGTGGAGAAATCTGCATCTGTTTTCTATGATCACAGTTTCTTTTTCTTAAATGCAAGATTTGCAATTTTTTCTGTCAGTATTTAGTACTGCTGAAGTCAAAATTAATACTTGGAATCACCATCAAATTATGCTGACCATTTTCCTGCTGTTGCCTTTAAAACTTAGTGAATATCCTCTCACCACTGATTACATGGCATTTTCTACAGCTATTTAAACAAATCAGATTTCTACAAATAAAAAGCAAACTCAAGAACAGACCATAGTTACTTTGGAGAGATATTCCAGATCAAGCTGAAAATACAGGAGTCATTTGTAGTCAGAAATATGAGTTAAGATTAGAACATTTGATTTTTTTTTTAATACATAACTAAATAAGCTTTCCCACGGGCTTGAACAAATAATCACCAAATCCACATTTCAAAAGAGAACAGGAAAACTGGACTGCATAATTCCTATGCAGGCTGGGATATTTTACATCTCCTATTCATCTATTCACTCTTTCCCAATGTTGCCCAGATATCTTAGAATTCATGCACTGAGGTCCAAAAATAGCTTAGGAAAGAATACTAGAGGGAAAAAAAAAAAAAAAGTACCTCCCTGAAAAGCAAGATTTAAAAAATATTCCATAAAAATTGTTCTCTGTAGATGCTGCAGAACATATTAAGTTAGTGGTGTCTAGGTCAAAAATAAACAATTGGAAGAGTGCTTTTATCTGCCACTCGGAGCAGGACTAGCCTTTTTTCATTTATCCAGTATGCATAAATTATTTTGTGTATTGCTTAGTGGTGAAGGTTTGTACATAATCATCTTGCAGTTCGTTATTCTATCCTATGGGAAGAAATTCCCTACGTGAAGACCTAAGTGAAGATGTCCTTCTGATTTCTGCAGGATTCTGAACTGAAGGAGGTATCACTGGCATTCCTGACCACAGCAAGCCTCAGAAAATAGCCATCGATGGCCTTGGCCTTGTACAGCTGACCCTGTTTGAACTGTGATTACTTCTCCAGAATTCACCCGGATTTTATTGGCAACCCGCATGAAGAATGAGCCCAGTCTGTCCTAAAGACTAATAACTTAGCTGTGAAGATTGGCTTCACGTGCCATGTTAATCGAGTCTCTCCTGAAGTTAAGAATGAGCAGTAATTTCCACAGGGAGTCAGAAAATTAATACAGCCCTGAAACACACACCAAATTGCCTTTGCACTTAGTTGCCTTCCTACGTGCTAGATATGAGGTGGTAACGGTACCAAAATTTTTGTTTTGACTTGATTCTTCATCTATGGGGAATAATGATGCTTCACAGGTGATGATGAAAGGCACCTTAGTCCTCTCATGAAATGACAGTGGGCTGGAAAGCACTGTGGTGCTCAACCTTTGCCTTGAGCTGTGCTGTGTCTCCACACATCCCACCTCATGAGCATCCAAACTCTGCCCTTGCCACCATTGCTCATGGGATTAAATCTCAGTACCAATGGGCAGGGTTTGTACCAATAGCCTTCTCAAGAGATGGTAAAAGACACAGAAACTAAGTCAGGGAACCTGCATATAATATTGATAATTTCATTCTGTATTTATTATCAGTGTTCTGTTTACTGAAGTCCAGCCACTGTTTAGTCCTCCCTCACCAGCTCTGTCTCTTTTTGCTCCCTTCTCACCCCCCTGCGTTTGGTGGTTCAGACTCTTACAGATGACCACAGAGGAAATGGAGAGTGCCTGCTGGATCTGCTGGGTGAATGGTGCACCCCAAGCAAACACACTCTTTATTCAGAAATATTTCAGGCTGTTTGCAGGAGCCAAGAGAATACTGATTTCTGATTGTGCTTACCTCTGAAAGGAGAGCACACAAATCTCTGTGGTAACTTTCCATTTCAATGGCTACTGAAAGAAATCTGTTTTGGGACTTGCCTTTCCTTACTTGTGTAAAAATGCTTTTGTGCCATTAAGACGCTTTGCAAAGGGAAACAAGATCTTGAGGCTTGTTGAGGCACTGTTTTCACTACCCAGTAAAGTTAGTCTCATTAAAATGGACCTCATCTCCTCACTGCTCCTGCACATACTGTCAGTTTATCACAGATCATCTGACATCTCCAAAATGGAAAGCATGACGTAAAGCTGGAAAAACAGCTCGAGACTGAAAAAAGTCAAAATGAAAATTGGAAAGACTTTGGAGTAACTGGGAGAAGGAAAAGATGGCTGCATCCAAACTTGTCAAGTCTTCAGGGTACCTATATATGCCAGCCAGAGAGAGTGGTAGGTGTTCAGGACTGTGTACCACTCTCTGCCTCTGGCCAGCTCTGCAAGGAGCATTGCACAGTCCCGGAGCCAGGCATACTGGAATAACCTTCTCAGGAAAACCCTGCCAAAAAAAAACCCCTTACAGGAATACCAGTCTGTCTTCTCCCCACCTCAGCTGAAAGAGCATGGACACAGCCATGAGGGGCTGCAGCTGGAGAGGCTGCCTGCCCACCATCCTGCCCAGACCCCTTGCCCACACAGAGCAGGCCAGCTCAGGTCTCTCAGGCAGTTCTCAAAGGCACTGGTTCTGAGTGTTGGTTTACCCTTGAGTTTTGGGCTGGGAGCTAGGAAACAGAAGTGCCTGGATGAAAGAAGACAAGATAGCCTCCCAAGATCTTCTCTGGGTCAATGAGGAGTGCAAATCCTGCGTTCTGCCTGACAAAAGGCAACAACCAGAAAACTGCCAGGAGACAGAGGGGACACTGAGAAAGCCCTGGATGCAGAGTGCTTGTGGCTGCAGGAGATACAGGGGTGGGATCAGGGCAGAGCACCCTGCCTTCCCAGGAAATGTCCCTCACAGCAGCTGGGAGATGACAGCTGCTAGCAAAGAGCAGCTGCTAACTTTCCTCCCAAAGCTGGATTGCCTCAACTGGATTTCCACACTGCTCAAGTGGGCTTGGCAAAAGTGGATGGGTGGGCAAGGATGAACACATGCTGCAGGGAGCTTCTCAGGTGGCCTTGCTCGGCTGGACGCTCCCTCCCTTCACCAGAATGGAAATGCCTCCAGAAGGAGCTTGCTGTGGGAAATGTAATTTTTCCTGTTGGTTTCCACGTGACAGCAGTAAATTCTTTTAATGCTCCTTAAGCTGAATTTTCCACGGTCAGTTTTCCTAGGAGACTATTTTTGCATGCATTTCCTCATTGCCTGGACAAAACCAAGAGAGATTTGGAGCCAGACCATTGCAATAACTCAGCTCCACATAACAAGCCAGGTTCAGTAGGGGTGGGGAAAACAGTCTGTGGATTGACAGGAATAGAGATTTAAAGGGTGGAGTAGAGCATCATACTCTGTTGGGGACTTCAGTGGGTTTTCAACAGAGCAGGAAGAGAGGCTGTGGTGCAAAGCAGTCTCTTTCTATAGGTATGTGCGTATGTATGTATGAATGTATGCATATTGAATATTTAGATTACACCCTCTCCCCCCCCTCCGCACCTTATTCAGTGTGTAAAATGCACAGGTATATAACTGGAACCCCAGACTTTACCTCTGACAGTCCCTCTGCTCCCTCAGATACCTTTGTCCCAGGCAGTTCCGCTGGAAAAACAAACAAAAAGACAAACCAACCCCAAGCCAGCATCAGCGGTACAGAAACAGCAAGGCTTTTTTATAAGCTGCCATTCAAGGGCCCTGTAATTGAATGCATGGGGCTGCGCTGTGTGCTTCCCTGGGGAATTTGCCTCTCCGGCTCCCTCCCGCAGCAGCCTTTGACACGGGGAATGTATTTTTCCAGCAGGAGCAGCCTGGCCCTGCCTGTGCTGTCCTGCCCCCAGCGGCACCATGCCCTGCCTTCCCCAGCAAAGCTCTGCACAGGGAGCTGAGGAGGACCTTAACCAGGGAAAACGAGGATGAACGCTGAGCTAACAAAAGCCAGAGGCAACCCCACGCCGGGAGGTGTTGACTTTGCTGTTTCCTGCATTTGCAGGTGACATCAGTTAATGTGGTAAAATGGCTAATGTGTCATTAAAGGAAAATGGGATTGAAATGAAGGATTCTGGATGGGGGAGGCAAGCCCCTTGAATTCCTCGCTGTAAATGCTGGGTTTGTGAATGAGCCACTGCCACCAGGTACTTTGGAGGAAAAGCCTAGCTAGTAATTGGAGAAAATGGCATGACACAAAACTCTCCAAGCACTTGGCCTGGAGGCTGGGTGTCCATTAGAGGAAATCACAAAGTCAAAACAGACACTGTGTAATTTCTCTGTACTTGCATTAACCATATCCCCAGCACTAGCAGTGTGGTTCACTGTAGTATAATAAAGCACTTTATTCCACACCATCACAGCTAAGTATCCTCATCAGATGGAGCATCACAGTGGCTAGAATTCACTTTTCCATTAAGGAGATTGTACATCTTGCCAAGACATTAGTCTATAGCTCAGCAATGTTTTGATTTTTTAAAGAAGGCAGAGCTTGGTGACAAACATTCACCCTCCCAGCCCCAGAGGAACTTTTAATTTAGTACCAAAAAAAAAAAAAAAAACCCCCCCCCCCCCAAAAAAAAACCACAAAAACAAAAAAACCCACCAAACAAACAAACAAAAAAACCCCACCAAACAAAACCTTTCATTTCTACTGTTTGGCAACTGCCTTGGTAAAATTTTTTGTTTAAATTACAATGTTAATCCAGTTGTTTCAGTGCACAAAAATTGTTCCTTTCTATGTACCAGTACTGGTTTCCTTGTGAGGCTTTGTTGCATTAACTCTTTGGGAGCTTTAGGAGCTCTCAACAGAGCTGTCAAGGTATGGATCTTTGGTTTTTTTGGCCTGGAGCACTGTCTGAAGGTTGGCCAAAATAAAATCTGAACAGAACTCTTCTGAGAGGTGCAGGAGGATAGGAGAAGCAACAATGGGTACAAGTTGGTATGCAGGAAATTTGGATTAGATATTGGATGTTTTTTTTTCACAGGAAGTGTAGTCAAAACACTGGATCAAGAGCCCACAGAACCTGTGGTCTCCATCCTCAGCACTGTAAGGACTCCATATGGTGAAGGCTCAGCACAACCTCATTTAATTAATTCTGCTTTATGCAGGTGTTGCCCTACATGATCCTTGAGTCCCTCCCAGCCTGAATTATTCTGTGATTTTGTCATCAGCACAGATAACAAGGGAAAAGGGACAGCAGCATAGACAATTTTACAAGATCTTAATATTCACCACACTCCAGAGCCAGAGAAGGCCAAGCTGGATCCCCAAACTTCCTACACTGATAGCCTCTACCAATGTACATGTGGATGCCTGGGAGCTGCACCAGCTGCTGAAGGAGGCAGCAGGGTAAGAACATTCTTACTCCATGTTTGGGAGCCTGGGGGGGTTTGAGGATTTTTTAAACATTTTTTGTACCCATGGGCATTGCCACATGCCCATTGCAGCCTCATATGTGATGTCTTTGTGGAGTGATGCTGAGAGCTCTCTCTGGCTGAAAAGTCCTGAGGCTGGTGCCACAGAGCCAAACTGTTCCCTCAGGTCTTCTCCAACCACTCTGAGGTTTATACCCGTGGGTATAGCCAAGACCACAATTAAAAATGAGGAATTTTGCAGTTCATTTAACTGGTAGAAATTTCTGCTTGCCTTTTAATCCTTGAAGTAATTTTAACTCCTTGCTGATATAGATCCATATTAGGGATTTATATATTTATGTATCTGTAAAATCAGTAAAACAACATACAGATGGCTGTTAATGCTATAATAGAATCTCAGTGATAAGCAAGAGCTTCTGTGAGGCCACCTTAAACCCTGCTGAAACTTAAATGCCAGGTTGTTATTGTGGCTTGTTTACTCTCACTTCTAGCTGCATTTTACTGTTTGGCTTCCTAAATCTCAGCAGGGAAAGGACAGCTTAGCTGCCTTAAAGACTGTGCTGCTCTGAAATGATGACTGTTGCTGTGGGGGAAGGGGTTGCACTCTCTGTGACATGATTTGTAGGACCCTCTATAAATCATTTACCAGCATGCCTTCACTGTAAGCTTACAATTTGTGGAGCTTTAAGAATTGTAAGGAATAACAATGTGCAAAGGAAGAGAAACCAAACCAACAGAGGAGGAGATGGACATCTCTAAACCCCTTGCCTGGAAAGCCAAAAACCTGTATTTAAGTCACAGGGACAAGCACTGAAAGCATTTTAATGGGTGAGTGCCTTCCTGCACCACCACCATGTGTTGTACAAATTGTGGCTTCGTGGCTCCCGAGCCAACAGGGAGGGGGCTTGGCCAGCCCT